CTTTGGAACCCAGCCCCGTCCTAAAGCTTCCTGGGGCTCCAGGTTGAGTGCAGGCCCCTCTCAGAAATGTTTTGTAAAATTGAGCCCCTGTTTCTGAGCCCTGTGCAAAATCGCTGAGCACAGAAGGCCTGAGAAAATCGGGGCGTCTGCCTGGGAAAGGGCTCCCACCCTCACTGGGGACCCAGGCTTATTTATTTCCTGGGTGGGAACTTCTTTAAATCGGACCTTCCATTAAGACTTCCCACCAAGCGGGGCTGTCTTTCTTATTTGGAAAGTGTGATTTTACCCGTTCGAATAGAGTGGCATTGTGCCCGTTTTAACACAAATGCAGGGTGTCCCCCTAAAAAAATGCACACACACACACACACTTTTAATACTTGTAAAAGCAGTGTTTATTAACATACATTTCATTTTCAAAATTGAGCTACCAGCTGCTACAGTGTATACGTTTTTGGAAGGGGACACCCTGCATGTTCTATGGAGGGATCAACATGTGGAGTTTATGTCCTTGAAAACTAACGGGCTTTTTCGATGTAACGAGCCAGCTCCTTCGAGTAAACAATCTTTCACAGTAGAAAATGTTTGCCGGCGGATACTACCTCTGAAAATGCTACATTACAATCTCCACTAAAAGCCAGAAAGGAAAAACACCCAGAGTGAGACTAGTAGAGTTTGTTTTACAGAAGATAAAATATATATATATATATTTGAACTTAAAAATCCCCAAGCATCCAATTTCGCAAGAAAAATTTTAAGGAAACGCTGCTTATGCACGGCAGCCCTTCGGATATTTATTAAAACGCATGTGATTCGAGTTTAAAATGATTCCACAGAGCTGAACGGCCGTCAGTGAATTTAAAGCTTGGTTATAGAAGAACCGAGCCTTTTTCTGCCCCCAGCAAGGTTTCCCTACGAGGGTGCAGTAAGTCCTGGGACCAGTGGAATAAAACTAGGGCTTTCAGTCCGCGCTGCGAGGACGCTGAATGGTACTTGTCAATAAAGGGGCTCCTATTGTAATCTTCCGGGCCGGCTGCCTCCGCCCTGGAAGGACTGGCTCGGAGATACCAACCTCATTAAAATATGAATGGGGGAGTCGCCACCATTGTGTGGGGGAAACGGGCTCGCTGGCCCGGTTTCCTTACAGCCACGGCTTCCACCCCGGGACTCCCTCGGTGTGAGTTACAAACATGGCAGGGATCTGTTATCACTGCATTGCTTTCTTGGAGCAAGAAAATCCAAAAAAATCCTAACTTTTCTCATTTTGAAACCTGCTTACTGCTCAGAATCATACTTAGTAAACGCCGTGGTTTTTGTTTCGCTTGGGTTTTTCCCCCTTTGGGCTTCTTGAGACCATGTGCTCGCTGTTACGTGAGCGATGACATGGGGGTGGGAGGAGGTCTCCCCCCCATCCCCACTCGAAAATGGAAACAAGTAGCTGAAAGTTTTGGCTTCGGTTTCCCCAGTGAGCTGGAGTTAGGGAGGCGTGGGGACGCCTAGGACAACATTTTAATAACAGTCAATTACGGGGGCTCCCACGTTCCTGTTAATCTCGTTGTAAATTTCTTGCTTGAGAGCCATCAGCATCAGGCAGGAATACAATTATGTCACGGTGACAGCCGGACCTGGGGACGGTCCTTGCCACAGCACCTGTCTTTCTCAGAACAGCCTGGCAGCCTCAGGTAGACCCCGCTCCCCTTCGCGGTCATTTTGGGGCGTCCTTCAGCTAGGAAGCCACGACTTCGGCTGCCGAGTGGCCAGTAATGAGTTTCACACGGTGGCAAAGATTTCCTTCCTAGAGGTTTAGCTAACGTAGGAAATTTAATGGCATTGTGGCAAGTATTGCATCTGGTGTCATCACTAAGTTTTCATCCATAAAAACATGGGGACCCCTCCTGCTATTAGTTAAAAGTCAATATTTAGAAGTGAACATTCGCCCCCCACTCGCTCTGGGCTACGACAGGGGAAGCTGGATTCGGAAACTCTCGTAAATTGATGATATGTAATTAGCTTTTATGTTAATTGACTGCTATGAGTTTGTTGTACGACACTTTATATGATATGCAAATAGCATCGGCTGTTTCGTTTTTATTAGAGAGTATGATTCCCAACCCGAAGGCGCTCATCTCAATGCAGTGGTCTGTGTATCAGGGAAAAACAATTGCTCCTGGACTTAATCAATAAGAGGCTTTTTAAGGAGCCTTTGTTTCCAGAGCCAGAGCCCGCCAACGTAGAACAGAATGAATATTAGTTTTTTTCCCAGTTACCGAATTCGACGTGAAAACACGCAACTTTGTGCAATCAATTAAACCTCCTGGACCAAAATACGAAGATTTCAGCACAGTTTACCACAAACGACACGGTCGATGTATGAAAATAACACCAAACGTCGCCTTCTTTAGTTCGGATAATGGGAAAAGCTTAAAATAAAATATTTTACAAGTGTTTCCTGTTTCCTGTTCTTATTTATTTATGGACTGATCATGTCAGGATGTGAGAAAAATACGAAAATATGAGAGTAAAAAAACAGTGTGATTTGGGGGGAAATTTGCCCAGAATTCAGAACTATTGAAATTTCAATTACATTTTTTCATTTCAGAGCCTATTTTCAACTTAACAGGGACAAAGCAGAATTTGAGAAAAATCGTGTAATGGATCCTCATTCATGACCTTCAAATGGGGGGGTCATCCCACTCATCCGACTTTTTCCTAAAGTTCAAACACTTTACTTTCGTTATCGAATACAAAATTATCGCTGCCGTCTGTCCTCGCATTTTAAACAGCACTCTGTTAGCCTCCCCCCAAAACCTTTCATTTTCAAACATTTTTGGTAAAATGAACAGAAATGGGCCCGTCCACGT